ATCCACGCGGGCGCACTACCGCGGGGCTGGGTGTAGGTTCGACCTCGCCTGCCCCCTCACAGTCGGTTCTTCCCCTTTTGTTGCTGCCCAACTTCTCCCTGAAACCGTACAGTCAGCCAGATTTCCCTGCCCCTATACCGGGTCACCTCTTTTACCCAGACGAGAACATTTCTAAGGCTTCCCGGCGTCGGACGCCTCGGCTTTTTACTCGGTGATAGTACAAGTGCAGCCTCTGCCTCTACGCTCTGAGCATCAGTTTCCTTTTCTGTAAAACTGGCAGATAATCCTGTAAAAATGAACAACTTATTTGTTGCTCACGTGCTGCTTACCCGTCACACCTAACACTTGACCTCACTGTCTCTTCCTCCGCAATCCAAGAACGTTATGCTCTTTCCCAGGTGGGCTTCGGGAGAGCTGTCACTCGATCAGCGGGAGGCTCTGCTGTCTAGGGTGCCCCCTTGACACCTCTGGGACCTCGTAAGACTGCTTCCCACAGAGCTAGAGGGCTCGGTTTTAACACCCTCAATCTCCTATTGCCCTCTCCCTCCCTGTCCTCTGAGCATCCTTAGTACAGGGTATTCCCGGTTAACTCCTCTCCGCACAAGACGCCTGCTGCTCTCTGGTGCTGCCCCAATCGCCAGAATCTGAACTGCCTGAACCACCACCACCCACGCCCCACTAAGAGACCCATGGAATATTTTAGCTCATCTCGCACACTCCTCACCTAAACCTGATAGTTACCAGGATGATACCAGATCATTACTCCCCCTGCTTCCATGCTCAGCACCTAACCGTGGGGAGGAGGGAGTTCTGTCCTTTCCGTTGTACAGATGGAAACACCAAGGCAGTCCTAGGGATGTGGCTCAGCCTGCGGGTGACAGCTGACAAGTGAGTGAGGTCTGACTGCAATCCCTCAGCTGCCCACACCATTCCACCCCTCCCATCCACTTCCAGGTTGGGAAGGTATTTCTGAGGGGCTGGGGTTGCTGGGGGCTGCCTGGAGTCCCAAATCCCCTTAGCCCTCCTGCCTTCGTCCAGCCAGGTTCCCATGTGGTTCCCAGGTAGCTCTGTGGGTGAAACCTAAGTGCCACCCAGCAGGCCACCCAAGGGGCCCTGTTCTGGTCTGGGACTCCCTTAGAGACTGCCTCCCTCCTCCCAGCCCACCCCTGTCTGTCCTCACCCCTTGGCCTAGATGTACCTGGAGACTTAGATTTCAAGTGAGTGCTCAGCATAGGTCCAGCCCTAGCAGCTGATCAGGGATGCTTCTTGGATGAAGGACTGAGGGAGTGGCCTGCACTGCAGGGGGCTAGGAAACTGGTGGAGGACCTATGGTGAGCCAAGCGGACCCTGGACCAGGCATTTTACACAGTGACTTTTTAACTCTCAAACAGCCCTGCAAGGAATTCTGTGCCCATTTTACAGATGAGAAATTGAGGCTCAGAAAACAAGCTTTTTGTCTAAGATTACACAGCTCACAAAGGACAGGGTTGGCATTCAGGGCTCTTCTACTGCACAAGGCTGCCTGTCACCACCAGAGCAAGGGCACCTGCCAGCTGACCCTGCTCGGCCAACACCACCCTGTTGTAGAGCCGCATGTGGTGGGGGCTCACCAAGAAGTCACAACAGCAGCTGTAATTAATGCTCACCTCCTCTTAGAGCTGCACTGGAGCAGGATGGGAGAAGGAAAAGGAGATGCTCTGTTGCAGGCGCGCACACTTCCTCTCGCTCTCCAAGAGGACCCGGGAGGTTGGGTCTCTGTGGAGGTGCAGCCAGCCCTGTGTTCAGCACAAAGTACATACTTGGCCTGCCATGAGAGGTGCAGCTGCAGGCTCCAGAACTTCCCATGGAGGCAGCGCAGAAATAGGGTAACTTTGAAAAAAGGACCTGATGAAAGGCCAGCGGCAGCTCCCCATTGCCCAGGGTGAAGGTCATGCTCTTGGGAATGGCAGCAGAAGCCCTTCCAGGCATAGCACCCCCTCTTCCTTCCCTACCACGCCCAACTCCTCAGAAACCCATGCCTCTGATGGGTTTCCAATCCAGAAGGCCCTTCCCTTCTGCTCTGTTGGGGGCAACAGCCTCTAGCCTCCCTCCTAGGGGCAGCCCCCAGCTCTCCTGGATGGGGCTGGAGGCTCTGTTTTGTGAGCCCAGAGTCCTTCCCACCCACTGTCTCCCACTTGCGCACTCGCATAGTGTTAGCATATCCATCCATCCCCTCCCTCTGCCCCAATGCCAGCAGCTGCTCAAGGACCATGAGGATATTTTATTTCTCTCTGCATCTTGCCCCAAGAAGGCATAGGTGCATGGATGACAGTGGAACACAGCCGGAGCCCTGACATCACAGAGTCTGTATGAGGTGGGGGCTCTGGAGCTGCCCCCTCTCACTCCCTGGATGAGAATGGTGGAGACTTCCCACTGCTGGGACTGTCCTGGGAGCAAGGATTTTTGTGCCCCAGCTCCTTACCAGGATGGAGCAGAGTCCAGGGGCCCTTCCTCTGGCAGCCGTACTGGGGAGGACGCCCCAGGAGCCCTGAGATGCCAGGCCTGTCACCATGGCAACAGCTGCTCCTGGGAAGCCAGAGGTGGGGGTGTGTGGAACAGCCCCTCCCCCATGCAGATGCTGCCTGGGAGAGAAGAGGCCTCTTGGGCCGCCTGCCCACCCACCCTGCTTTGTCACTTGATCCGTCTTTACAAAGGCGGAACAATACCCCAGGCGCTCACTGAAAAGGAGACTATGAGGAGGACCCTGAAGCGGGAACCGGGAGGAGGGAGATTACCATCAATGCCCACCCCATTCTTGCTCCACTGGGCAGAGGGGGCCAGAGATGGGATGAAGTGGGAACAGAATCCCTCCCAGCTCCAACCACGGAGATGCCTCCCTTCTGGGGGCCCTTGACTGTGGGCCAGTGAGTTGCCCTGCACACGTGGGAAGGGACACCCTCCTGATCTATGCCCCCTCATCCTAGCCTTCCCACACTCCCAGAGGCCCTTCTTACCACATGGTCCCTGACCACAGCCACCACTCACCCCCACCAGACGCATATTGCCCCTTCCCCAACTTGGCCCTGATATTGTCTCCAGGAAGACCCCGCCTCTGCCCCCACCCGATGGCCCTGGTGCCCGCCTCTGTGCCCTGCAGCCACCCTACCTGTGCCCGTCTCCTCACAAATCTGGGAGTTTCCAGAAGTCAGTGGCTGGGCCATGCTCCTGGGTGTCTTGGTGCCTGGCTTGCAGTAAGGTCCCATAAATATTTGTTGAATGAAAAGAATGTCATAATGAGGAGCTGTCCGCAGAACCTTCTGGAAGAGGCTGAATGCAAGTGGGGCCTGAGGTTGGGGGAGGTATATTGATTGGACCCTAGGGGACAGAGGTGTCTGTGTGAGTAAGCAGGAACCAAGACTGTTCTTCACCTCCTCCAGGTGCCCGGGACACCCCTCCAGAGGGCTATCGGTGATGATGGAGGACCCAACAGGTACAACACTGACAGGGGTGGTGGGCACCAGCACATGTATGTGCTGTGTGTGTGGGTCTGGGGATGAGTTAAGTATGTCTGTACACATGAGGACATCCAGGGGCCGTGTGTGTACACATTCGCCCACACACGGGGCAGGGCTGGGTTGGGCAGGGCTCAGGGAATGGGCCCACTTCCCCACAGCTCAAGTCCTGGTTCTGATTCAGTGTCCTTTTATGGGGATGTCAAGGGCTGGACTAGATTGTTCCATTCTTACTAAAGAAGCATTTTAAAACTTTCTTATTAGGGCTTTTAGAATTTTAATAACTAATTCAACATTAGAGATGAGCAGAGAAATAAAATAATTGTTTCTCTCTTCCCTTGCAACCCTGGCCCTCAGGTAATCAGTATCAAGATTTCGGGCATCTCTTGTGACCAACAAGGGCTTAATTTTCAGAATACCCAAACAGCCCATACAGCTCAATATCAAACAACCCAATAAAAAAAATGGGCAGAAGACGTAAATAGACATTTCCCCAAAGAAGACATCCAGATGTCCGACAGGTACATGAAAAGATGCTCAACATCACTAATTATTAGAGAAATGCAAATCAAAACTACAATGAGTTATCACCTCACACCAATCAGAATGGCCATCATTAAAAAGTCCACAAACGATAAATGCTTGAGAGGGTGTGGAGAAAAGGGAACCCTCCTACACTGTTGGTGGGAATGTAAATTGGTGCAGCCACTATGGAGAACAGTATAGAGGTTCCTTAAAAAACTAAAAATAGAGTTACCATATCATCGAGCAATCCTACTCCTGGGCATGTATCTGGAGAAAACTCTAATTTGAAAAGGTACACGCACTGCAATGTTCATAGTAGCACTATATACAATAGCCAAGACATGGAAACAACCTAAATGTCCATCGACGGATGATTGGATAAAGAAGTTGTAGTATATACATAAAATGGAATATTACTTAGACATGAAAAAGAATAAAATAATACCATTTGCAGCAACATGGGTGAACCTAGAGATTATCATATGAAGTGAAGTAAGTCAGATAAAAACAAATACATGATATCACTTTCATGTGGAATCCAAACAAAAACGATATAAATGAACTTATTTACAAACCACAAATATATTCACAGAGGTACAAAACAGACTTTTGGTTACCAAAGGAGAAAGGGAGGGGGAGGGATATATTACAGGAGTTTGGGATTAGCAGATACCAACTACTATATATAAAACAGGTAACAGGGACCTACTGTATAGCACAGGGAACTATATTCAAATAGCTTGTAATGACCTATAATGGAAAAGAAGCTGCAAAAGAATATATACATATATGTATAATTGAATTACTTTACTTTACACCTGAAACTAACACAACGTTGTAAATCAACTATACTTCAAAAAAAAAAAGCGAGTTCAGACATCTCTTTTGACCCTTTTTTTAGACTTTACAAACATAAATACATGTAGTGCAGTTTTTTCTGATCTTTTCTTTTACTAAAACGGAATTAATATTGTACATTTTACACTTCATTTTTCTCATCTAAGAATCTATCCTGGATAAATGGGTGGGTATATCATAAAAAAATAAGTGTAGGAAAATATTAATGTTAGCACCTCATGGTGGGCATTCAGGTGCTCACTATAAATTGTGTTTAAATTTTCTGGATATTTTTACATTTTCACAATAAAATATTTGCAAAAAAATCTATCATGAATGTCTTTCCAGGTCAACACAGAGGATCCAACTCATCATTTTTAACACTCATTCTGATTTCCGCAGTGTAGGTGTATTATAAAGGATTCTGCCAATCCCCTACGAATAGACATTTAGGTTGTTTCTGTTACAATCTCTATATGGGTACATGTATCTATGTTCAGGGTCTGCAAACGGTAGCCCACAGTCCAAACTGGCCCACTGCCTGTTTTTGTAAATAAAGTTTTATTGAAACACAGATATACTCATTGGTTTAGTAGAATCTATGGTTGCTTTCCAGCTACACTGGTAGAATTAAGTAGTTATGATAGAGACCATATGACCCACAAAAGCTGAAAACATTTACTATTTGGCCCTTTATAGAAAAAAATTTCTGACCTCAAGTGTACTTGTGCTTTTATTTCCATGGCATAGAGTCTGAGAACTTGCTGGGTCAGTGGGTATGTGATTGATGGGGGTACACAATTGATGTGCCATGAACTTGCACATGTTCAAAGTGTACCATTTGAAGAGTTTTGACATAAGGATACACCTGTGAAATCAACACCACAATTGATCCAGATAATGAATATCTTCTGGTTAAAATGCGACTCTCTTACTATGAAGCAGCACATTAAAATGTCAGTAACTGGCATAGATATTAACTGGTCAGTATCGTGTGAAATGAGTTTACTAATAACAACCATTTTTGGGGGATTCACACCTCGCATAATCCTCATAACACCTTATGAGGCGTCTATTACTTATTTAATTTTTAGACGCGGAAACAGGCTTGGAGCGAGTGGAGGAAACTTGCCTCAGGCAAGCCGAGCGTCAGGATATTTTTTTAAGATAATATATTCTTCACTGCTCCCCTCAAAGGTTTTTTGTCCCCTCCCTCCCTTTCCAAGTGACTATTGAAGTTCTGTCACTATACATTTGTCTGCACTTAGTCTACATAAGTGGCAGGTGAATGTGATGCTGTGGGACTTGGGGCAGCAGGCTGAGTGCTGCCTCTGAGCCCCTGCAGCACACGGCATGGCCTGGGCTGGGCACTGGGACACGAGGGGACAAGCTGGGGCGCCTGTCTGCTCGTGGTCAGCTGGATTCACAGATAGAACAGTGACCACTCTGGGGTCAGCTGATGTCTGTGACTAGAGTGAGAAACTAGGGTGGGTGTCAGAGAAGGTGACACATGACCAGGGTGGCACAGCCCAGTGGGAGTCAGGTAAGAGGAGAGGGAAGGGAGTTCTACACAGAGGGAACAGCCTTGGCAAAAGCTTTGGAGAGAGGACAGAAGGCGCCTCCCACGGCCCACAGGGGAGGCTGGAAAGCCGGGATGGACCCTCTGGCCTAGGGGAGCCGTGCGTGGGAAGGTTTAAGGGAGGGAGGGCTTTACATGGTCTGTGCAAAGCGCTGTCGAGGACAAAGGACAAGCAAGGGCTCTGCTGGGGGCGGGTGGGGACCAGAAGAGGTGACAAGTGTGTGAGGCCTGGAGATGGGTTGGGGGGGCGTTTTAGGGCTCTGGGGGGCTGCTGGGAAGGGGCATGGCGTCTGCATGCACGAGGGCCCAGGGCATCCCACCTCTGGGGGGCCCCTGTCCTGTGTACCCCCCGGGCGCTGCCGGGGCGCTGCGGCCACCCTGTGGCCAGGACGGGCCAGAGGCGCCGGCTGCTGCTGAAAGCTGCTTTTGTGCGGCCGCTCCAGCTCCTGTTTCGTTGACGTTGGAACCTGCTGCTTATTTATCCAACACGAAGGGAAATT